AAAAAAATAAGACTTCATAAGCAATTTCAAAAAGATGTGTCTTTAAATAGTTTTTCTAATCATTCGTGTAGTTTGAATGTGAAAGCTAAGGTGACTCGACTGGATTATTTATAGCCGAGTGTTAACAGTTAAATTAAGTGTCTTCATGCAAAATGCTTCATTCACCATTTTTCTAAAATCCTCGATCCTTTTGCTCTCGAAAATGGCTGGATGTAAGTTTACAGCACAAAACCAATAAGAGAAATAATAAGAAAAGAAACAATATTTGCGAAAAAGGCCTTCATCTAAAATTGATCTGGCCTGGAGGTGGTTTGGTCTAAAAGTTTGTTTAAAAGCAAAATTTCATGGACTTTTTTCTTCTTTAGAAACACGACGGCATCGCGTCCTGTGTTGGAGGCGAAACTTGCATCAATGGCTGCTGCAGGAAAAATCCGTGCCTGAATGGAGGAACCTGCAATGAAATCTGTGAGCCCACCAGCGTTCGGTACAACTGTTCTTGTCCGGAACCGTTTATTGGAAAACACTGTGAGATTCAGCCAAGAAGCTGTCAAGACTACAAAGCAGCTGGAGTGGACAAGTCTGGATTGTACAAAATTATCGACAATACCAATCAAACCCTCCAAGTGTTCTGTGATTTTAATTCGGAGCCTGGGTTCGCCTGGAATTTGATCGAGTCGTTTAGTTTGTCCAACAAGCACCTTTTTCAGGTAAATATCCTAAATGCATGAATTAGAAGAGAATCTTCTGCGTGACTTATAACTTGAAACTAGAGGGTGTCTGTGTAAGAAAAAAAAACGTTACTGTAGGCACAGGTACCATCCGAGAAATTCCGTCAAAAGAAATCCTAAAAATGTTTCACCCATTAGCTCGTAGCACACGAATGAACAACAAATTTGTCTTGTACTGGCGTGTACAAAAGGAAACGAATCGTTCCCGAGTTGGCTCACAGCAGTCTTTGATTACGACAAACGATAGACCTTCTCGCAGATAGAATACTATTAGTGCCAGTTCCTTACTAAGCGAGTACAAATAAGAGCTGTGCATCTCATTTCAACCCAGTTCGCACAAGAATCTTATGGCTGTTAGCAGCCGCAACATGTTGTCTCTCTTTCTCGCTTGCCTCTCCACGCTACCGCGCTTCTCTTCCCCTCCTTCCCTTTCCTTATCCTTTTACACTTCCAACTCATCCAAGCGCGGTCGCATTTTTCTATCCCTTATTGAGCGAGCGTGAAAGGGACTGTCGCGAATAGCACAAAACATGAAAAGCACCGTTACAAACACATCCCTGAATATAACAAAGCGTGCAAACTGAGGAGAGCCGAGGGAATAGCACTGCAATAACCAGATGTTTTTGAGGCAAAGCACGCATAAGAACGTTACTGAATCAGTATCAAATGTGCAAACTGATGAGAGCCGAAGGAATAACACTGCATAAACCCAATGTTTGTGAGGCAAATCACGCATACAAGAACTTTGCTGAATATAACAAGACGTGCAAACTAAGGGAGCCGAGGGAAAAGCAGTACACAAACATCATGTTTGTGAGACAAAGCACGCGTACAAAAACATTGCTGAATATAACAAAGCGTGCAAAATTGAAGGGAACCGACGGAAAGGCACTACACAAATCCGATGTTTGTGAGGCAAAGCACGCATACAAGGACACTGACTAAATATAACAAAACGTGCAAACTTGAAGGGAACCAACGGAAATAAAGGCACTGCACAAACCCGATGTTTGTGACTCAAAGCACGCACACAAGAACATTACTGAATATAACAAAGCGTGCAAACTAAAGGAAGTCGAGGGAAATGCATTGCACAAAACCCGTTGTTCGTATGGCAAAGCACGCATGTATACAAAAACATACCTGAATATAACAAAATCTGCAAACTTGAAGGGAGTCGAGGCCCGGGAAAGGCACTGCACAAACCCGGCTTTTGCGAGGCAAAGCACGCATAAAATAATAAACAGTTCTGCGTGCAACTTCACAGTAAAACCGTGAACTACTAAAAGGGCGTACGGGAAGCTGGGAAAAACGTGAATAAAAGCCAGGCAACGGAATAAGGGAACCACGCGCGCAAAAACAAGCTTGTAAGACTAAAAGAAACAAACCACAAGACAAAGTTCTGCTGTACCAGTAAGGGTGCCGGACTTGGGTATTCATAAACTGGACCTGCTGTACGCGTTTAGTTCAGTTGAGGGAATCAGGAACTGTGCAAGCAGCATGGACGAGAACTTTATCATGCGGCATAGGGTACAACACGTGAGGTTAATTACGAAGCGAAGGAATCTTACCCGAACTGGGCTGAAATGAGACGCAGAGCGCTCTTATTTGTACTCGCTTAGTATGGGACTGGTACGAATAAATGTTCTATTCGAGATAATTATCGTAGTGACAATTATTTTATGCTATTTCATTTTCTCCAGGGTTAGCAACTATTTAATTTTGAGTTTGAACTTATTTGGAGATGTTCACTGAACGTGCCGTTTGAGTGATTATAATAATTGCATGCCGAGCTCACGTCAAGTTTGCTTAAAGAAAAAAGACAAAAGAAAGCTTGAAAAAGACGAACATTTAAGTAAAATGTGATTAAAATGATCGGGATTTTTTTTTAGCACAGGGGTTAAGCTGTCTTAAAACGATGCGCATTATGAAAATTTGGAAAAATCCATTATTTTAATTTCCATTTTGTGGTCTTTCTTTTCTTTCAGAGTGACGTTGTCTTTTACAATTACCTGGATTCAAGTGCGGTCAGCAGCGATTCCCCAAACTGGCAGGCGTACCTGATAAGAAGGGATTACCTTGTTTGGCTCAGAGATCACTCGACTCATTGGCGAGCTACTTGCCGATTCAACACAGACGGCACGGTATATACGGATTACGCGCGAGCCTCATTTGAAGACTTCGACATCGTCAGAGTCACGCCCACGGCGGCAAGCAGCTGCCAAAAGTACGAGCTTGTCAACATTCGGGGAAATGAATGTGTGAAGTGTACGGCAGCAACCTGGTATCTAAAAGGTGCTTATCCTCTGCATATCGACAGTTCATATCCACATGGTTGCGATTTCGACGGAAATCAGAGTGGTGATGTTGTAGGAAGCGAAGACAATTTTGGATTTTACCAAGCTGTAAATTCGAAATTCCGTTGTACTTCAAGCTCAGAAGCAACCACTCAGTTTTGGTTTGGGAGCAAATGACTGACTTCACTACCGCAGAGCAGAGAAGTTTTTTTTCCTTCATTCGTCAATAAATGAACACGGTATGATTAAGTTAAGCCGCAGTTTAATTGAATGACGGTGTCAAATACCTTTTCGTGTCGAATGTTACGCGGCCGTAACTCGCGTTCCCCTTTTCAATTTCTTTGCAAGTTGTCCGGCGGAGTCATAATAACCTTGAATGAAAGGTATTTGCATGAGCGTAATTTACACACTTGGTAATTTGTTACTGGAAACCTGCAAGGTAGTCGTTTTTTAACTTGGAAAATCCGAGTTTAAGGTATGGATGGGAAATTCACTCAATTCTTCTCTTGCTGTTAGACATTTTGTGAATCCGCTGACCAATGTATAAGG